CAGATGGGAAAGGGTTAAAAGAGTAGAATTCTGATATATATATATATTTATATTATATTGCCAAACATATTGGGACAACCCTCCAAATCATTGGATTCAGGTGTTCCAATCACCTCCATGGCCACAGGTGTATAAAATCAAGCACCTAGGCATGCAGACTGCTTCTAGAAATATTTGTGAAAGAATGGGTCGCTCTCAGGAGCTCAGTAAATTCAAGCATGGTACCGTGATAGGTTGCCACCTGTGCAATAAGCTCATCCATGAAATTTCATTGATACTAAATATTCCATTATCAACTGTTAGTGATATTACAACAAAGTGGAAGCAACTGGGAACAACAGCAACTCCATGTAAAATGACAGAGCAGGGTCAGCACATGCTGAAGAGCACAGTGCGCAGAAGTTGCCAACTGTCTGCAGAGTCAATAGCTAAAGACCTCCAAACTTCATGTGGCCTTCAGATTAGCACAACAACAACGCATAGACAGCTTCATGGAATGGGTTTCTGTAGCCGAGCAGCTGCATCCAAGCCTTGCATAACTAAGCGCAATGCAAAGTGTTGGATGCAGTGGTGTAAATCAGGCCACCACTGGATTCTAGAGGAGTGGAGATGTTTTCTCTTGAGTGAAAATCATGCTTCTCTGTCTGGCAATCTGATGGACGTGTCTGGATTTGGCGGTTGCCAGGAGAACAGTACTTGCCTGACTGCATTGTGCCAAGTGTAAATTTTGGTGGAGGGGGATTATGGCGTGGGGTTGTTTTTCAGGGGTTGGGCTTGGCCCTTAGTTCCAGTGAAGGAAACTCTTAAGGCGTCAGCATACCAAGACATTTTGGACTATTTCATGCTCCCAACTTTGTGAGATCAGGCCTTCTTGTCCTACATCTGTGTCTGACCTCAAAAATATGCTTCTGGAAGAATGGTAAAACATTCCCATAGACACACTCCTAAACCTTGTGGGCAGCCTTCCCAGAAGAGTTGAAGCTGTTATAACTAAAAAAGGGTGGGCCATCTCAATAGTGAACCCTACGGACTAAAACGGGGATGCCATTAAAGTTCATGTGTGTGTAACGGCAGGCGTCCCAATACTTTTGGCAATATAGTGTATAGATATGTATGTAGCTCCCTCCTAGTTTAGCTAGGGGCAGCTAGAGCTTGATGGCTACTGAGGAGATGATTAGCAGCTCAAGTGAGATAGTCAGAGGAGTCAAATTCTGGTCAGGAATGGGAGACACTGCAGGCAAGCCCCTCTGGAATTTCCCCCTTGCACTCAGGCTTTTGAAGGAGGGCCTTGGAGGCAGTGGGTGGAACTGAGGAGTGGTTGACTGCACTTTTGAGGGACTTCAGCCATTCCCCAACAGGAAGCTTGGCAAGAGACTGGACTCCCTTAAAAAGTGTTGGAGCCTCCTCAGTAGCAGGAGAGTGGTTGTGGGAGAGGAGTGAGGATCAGGAAGATGTGAGAATGGAGGAGGAAGGCTGCCAGGAGTCCTAGTGGGGTGAGGCCTGCCTGTGAGCCTGGAACTGGAAAGGAGGAAAACTCAGGACTCACTGGCCCCATGAGAGGACCACCTGTATGGCAGGGAAAGAGCAGCCAAGCTGATAGGCCTGGTAGCAGCAGCCATTCCACAGTACAAGATCTGATCTGAGTGAGTACACCTGCACACCCTGGGCAGATAGGTGAAGAATCACTGTGGTGGGAAACCAGATTAGCCCTCTGCTAGTGATTGTACATCTTACTTAAAGGAAAATGAGCCAGATTCCCTGCTCAGAAAGAAAGTCTCCAGATTGCTTGGTGAAGAGGAGTTCTTATAGGGTATGGGGTTGTACAACTGGAGCTACTGGCTAGCAGTCCAACAGAGACAGTGTCAGAAAAGAGTAGATGTGAATAGTTCAGGAAGTTGTCCTCAGGAAAACTGTGCAGGACTATAGGGGGACCCAAATTCATCAGCAATCCCTAGGGGGGTAGTGCTATATGTATTTTTTTTTCACTTACATTTTTTTTATGTAATTTCAGTATAGTGCACCTATTTGTCTAATTCACAAGAAAAAAAATATAAAGAAATGCCTCTTGTTTTTGTGTAAAATCCCTGGGAAAAAAAGCATAAATCAATGGACCTAAAAGATCCAACCGGGATCAAGCAGATTCTCCTAACGTGGCATTCACAAAGTTTGGCTATTCATGCCTTATAGTTTTTAAACCATTTTATTTAAATTTTTCTTTTTAGAGAAGTTTTTATTTGAGTTTTGACAATATACAATATGAAACATATTCTGGATAGTTGAAGCAATATTAACATCCCAATATGCTTACAAAACCAAAACCGATCACATAGTATCGAGACATTGAAAATATCAAAGTTGACACAACAAGCTCTTGTATACGTCTAGACCATAGATAAGGAAAATATCCAGGAATGAGGAGAGGGAGTAAAGGGTTAGCAGGACTGGGGATAAGGTACGGTAAAAAGGGGAGGGGAAAAGAAGAAAGAGAAAAGAGAGGAGTGTAAAAGGGGAAGAGTTAAGCAAAGAAGAAAGAGCACAGAGAAATACCGGGATCTCAGATGGCTTGTGGTCATCTAAGATAGATTTTCAAAAGACACTAGGTCCCTGAGTGGTGTTAGAAATGGAATCATTTCTAGTGTTACTAAAACACTGAAGACTTCCTAGTATCAATCGGAAACCAGGTTGTAAAAGCGTCTATAACCCGCTAAGTGCATGAGATGAATTATGTATATTCTAGAGAGCGTTAACTCAAGTAAAGTGTAGCACGTGTTTGTATCATTGAACTAAAGGGAAAACGTTCTGTTGACCTGTTCAGAAGGCTGGGAGGGTAGTGGTAGGATACGTATTAGTGATGTAAGTGAACCATTTACGGTTGAAAGAGTTTGAGTGGCAAGAGTTAGAGATTTGAAGATCCAGGTGTTCTATGCGGAGTAGGCTGTGAAGGTCTTGTTTCACCTCTGCTACTGATGGTGGGGGTAGCGACGTCCATCTTCTCAGGATGGCTCTCCTGGCAGACATTAAGCAGATGGCTAGCCAAGGTTTGTTTTTGTTGTCGAGCGAATAAAGATGGCTGTGAGGCTGAATAACATGGCTAGTTAAATTTCCAAAAAGAATCAATCAATGGTCTACAACCATCCATGAACCCTCTCTTTCTTCTATCAATAGTTCCACTTGAGACCAGAACTTTGAGATAGCTGGACATGACCAGAATCTATGAAGAAGAGTAGGCTTGTTGACTGAGCAGTGGTGGCAGGTTTGAGTGGGCGTGGGCAGCTTGGAAAAACTGTAGGGCTTATATGCACGATGAACTATTTTAAACTGCTGTTCCCGCCAGAATTCATTATTTATAAAGGAGCATGTGTTTTTGAAGCCTGAATTTATTTGTTCCATTGAGAACGTATTAGTAAAGTCCTTCAGCCAAGAAGCTGTAGACATTGATTCTAGAGTTCTGCTGAAGTATAAATTTAGTGGTGTATAGATGACCGATATTTTGAATTGAACACGTGCCAAAAGAGTGTCGATTAATGAAGTGCGGAATCTTAGAGCTTTGACTGGAGCAAGTTTTTTTTACAAAGTTCTGAACTTGTAGAACATATATAGTATGGTGAGGTGGTAGATCATATGTCGACTCAATAGTCAAGAAGGGTATAGGAAGCCTGAATTGCCATCAAAAAGTTTTACAATTTTTTCGAGGCCATGGGGCACCCACACAGCATAGGCCGAATATTGTTGTGGTTGAGGAAAAGCAGGGTTTTTGTGTATTGGTAAGTATTGAGATTTCCAAGGGTATACCCCCCAATTTGCGCCTAATTTCTCTCCAAGCTATCAGCATATCTCATATTAGCAGATTGTGTTTTAGAAGGGGAGGTAAAGAGTTAACATTCCAGTGCAGTAAAGCCTGTAGGCTGAATGGGTGTACCATGGGTTGTAAGCAACTCATTCACTCCCTTGTTATATCACGCCTCGACTACTGTAACACCCTCCTCACTGGCCTACCTCATCGCAGGCTATCCCCACTTCAGTCTATCATGAATGCTGCTGCCAGACTTATCCACCTTACTAACCGTTCTGTATCTGCCACCTCTTTCTGCCAATCCCTCCACTGGCTTTCAATTGCCCAACGGATAAAATTCAAAACACTAACACTGACGTATAAAGCCGTTCATAACACTGCCCCAAAATTACATCACCGATCTTGTCTCTAAATACTGCCCAAACCGTACTCTCCGCTCCTCGCAAGACCTCCTACTCTCTAGCTCCCTTGTCTCCTCCTCCCATGCTCGTCTCCAGGATTTCTCCAGGGTTTCCCCCATCCTCTGGAACTCCCTACCGCAATCTATCAGACTATTGCCTACTCTGTTCACTTTTAGGCGCACTCTGAAAACCTATCTCTTCACGGAAGCCTACCCCGCCCCCAGCTAATACTGGAATCCTCTACTCTTCCAACCACTCCATCCCCCACAGTTACTACCTTTTGTAACACTATCCCCTCCCTCCTAGATTGTAAGCTCCAAGGAGCAGGGCCCTCAAATCCCTCTTGTATTGAACTGTATTGTTACTATACTGTCTCCCACCATAATGTAAAGTGCTGAGCAAACTGTCGGCGCTATATAAATCCTGTAATATAATAATAATGTCTCTTTCTATGCTGTAGTTTGAATATCTGGATGCTTGGACCAGCCAATCCAGACAAACTCTTAACAGACATAACTCTAACATTCGGAAATCCCGATCCCTCCTCGCTCCTAGGGAGATGCAGTTTGTGAAGGGCTATCCGGGAACAGAGGCCCTGCCAGAGAAAGTTAGATATCGCTTTGTTTAATTTCTGAATGTCAGCATGTCGTAACAAAAGCGGAATCGTTTGGAGAGATAGAGGAGCTTGGGAAAGCTAACCATTTTGAACAAATGCAATCTCCCCTGGAGCAATCTCCACATGTCTAGTTCTTCTATAATTTTATTTAACCACCTCCCAGTGTAGCCCCAGCAGTGCCACCTATCAGTGCCTTGTGTCAGTGCTCATCAGTGCGTCGTGCCAGTGCCCATCAGTGCCACGTCAATGCCACATATCAGTGCTTACCAGTGCACATCAATGCCACATATCAGTGCCCATCTGAGCTGCCTTTCAGTGTCACCCATCAGTGCCAGTCAGTGCCACCTATCAATTCCAATCAGTACCACCTATCAGTGCTGTCAATCAGTGCCGCCTATCAGTGCCAGTCAGTGCCGCCTATCAGTGCCAGTCAGTGCCACCTATCAGTGCCGTGTCAGTGCTGCCTATCAGTGCCAGTCAGTGCCGCCTAACAGTGCCAGTCAGTGCTGTCTATCAGTGCCAGTCAGTTCCGCCTATCAGTGCCAGTCAGTGCCACCTACCAGTGCTGCCTATTAGTGCCATATATCAGTGCCATGTATCAGTGCTGCCTTTCAGTGCCCATCAGTGATGCCTGTCAATGCCCATCAGTGCCACCTACCAATGCCTCCTCATCAGTGCCCATCAGTGCCACCTATCAGTGTCCACCAGTGCAGCCTATCAGTGCCCACCACTGCAGCCTCATTAGCGTATATCAGTGAAGGAGAAAAATCACTTATTTACAAAATTTTATAACAAAAACTAAGAAAAAACTTTTTCCAAAATTTTCAGTTGTTTTTGGTTTGTTTAAGAAAAAATAAAAAACCCAGAGGTGATTAAATACCACCAAAAGAAAGCTCTATCTGTCACAAAAAATGATACAAATTTCATATGGGTACAGTGTTGTATGACCGCGCAATTGTCATTCAAAGTGTGACAGCGCTGAAAGCTGTAAATTGGCCTGGGCAGGAAGGGGGTATAAGTGCCCTGTAGGCTAGTGGTTAAGACTGGGGTAAAGTTTAAATGGTAAATGGAAGATGGAAGTTTCCCTATTTTGATGCCCAAATAAGTTATATGATCCTTGGCAATAGTGAAGATTGTGTTGTGCATCCATGAGGGGGGGTGGGGATTGTAAAGAGGTAGAATTTCGCTTTTCACGAAATTGATATGTAGGCCTGAGTACCCTTTAAATTCTGAGAAAACTTTGAAGATATGTGGCATGTCAACAATGGGGTTAGAAGTGAAAATTAGAATATCATCTGCAAACAGAGCAATACGAAGGTCTTGTTGACTGATCTTGAGTCAGAGATTAAGTAACATGTTAGGGGTTCCAAAGCTAGGTTGAAGAGGAGGGGGAACAGAGGGCAGCCCTGCCTAATTCATTTATGTAGGTGGATGGAGTTAGAGATGCGGCCAGCAGCAATTACATTTGCCGTAGGCTCATTGTACTTGGCTGTAATTAAGTGTGAGAAGGGGCCGGAAAAGCCAAATTTTTTAAGTACCATGTGTAGCCAGGAAAAATTAACATTGTCAAAAGCCTATTCTGCTTCTAACGAGATTATGGCTATGTCTTTACTTGGGTTAAGTTTTGTGTGTTCTAGTACCGCCAGGACTTTCCGAATGTTGGAGGCAGCAGAGCTACCTTGTATGAAGCCCGGTTGTGCGGGATGTATGAGTGAGGGCATTATGTGGGCCAGCCTATTAGCTATAATCTTGGAGAAAATTTTAGCATCTAAATTTAGCAAAGAAATTGGACAACAGGATCCTGGGTCAGAGGGCTCCTTCCCCCTTTTCATTATCATTTTTATATGAGCTTGAAAACCAGTTGGTAGATAGGCACCCCCCCCCCCCCCCGAATGTATGTTTTGATAAACGGATAAAAGAGTTGATGTGATGAGCTTATCAGTGAGTTTTATAGAATTATAATATGATGTATATCCATCGACCAGATGGATATCTCCTTGCCACCAGCCAATGACGTGATTGCAGTATGAATGTCTTTTGAGGTAATGGGAGCATTAAGCAGTGTCAGGCATCCGAGTCCACCTGAGGGAGAGAGTCGATAGAGAAAAGAGCATGCTGATTGTGGGTCTATAGGGTCGGTGCCATATAACTGAGTGTAAAACTGTTCTAAAATTCTGATTATCCCTTCTGGGTTTTTGTGAACAGAGCCGGTAGAATATTTAAGGGAAGTAAAGTGATTGGGCGAAAAGGATTTTTTGCATAATCTGGCAAGCAGTTTTCCTGGCTTATTTCCGAATTTGTGGTATTGAAGGTCCGAGTATGATTGGTAAGTGAATTCCTGGGCTTTAGAACACTGAACGAATAATCTTTTGGCTTCAGACCAGATTTTCCTGTTTTCATGGGTATTCTTATCTGCTAGGTTGGTCTGAGCGATCCTCAAGCTATCACTTGCCACCTGATAATTATGTTGGAGGTGTTTCTTATAAGAAGCTGCAAAGGCAATTATTCTACCCTGTATCACTGCCTTGTCAGTTTCTCAGAATAGGTTGGGGTTATACTTATGGGCATCATTGGTAGCAGCAAAATCCTGACAGGTGTCCGTGAGCATCTGGAGGAGTTCCTGATTGTTTGCTAGTTAGAAAGGGAAACACCATATTTTAGGGGACTGGTCAGATTCCATGTAGTCTATGTGCATGGATATTGAAGCATGGTCCAAAATAGCTATATCATGAATTACTGAGCTCTTAATGGAGTTAAGTATAGTAGCATTACAGGAGAGATAATCTATTCTGGAAAGAGTGTGTTGAACCAGGGAATAAAAAGTATATTCCTTACCGTCCGGGTGGGATAGCCTCCAAATGTCAGTCAGTTGTAACACCTCCATAAAGTGATAGAGCCAGGAAGTATTGGGCGCGTAACCTATAGAATCTATAGTGAATTTGTGTATGGCTGCTGATCTGTCCTCCCTCCTGTCCATGAGGGAATTAATATCACTGCCCAAGACAACAGGGAAATGTAAAAATCTAAATACCCTGGATGACACTAGTTGAAAAAATTACTTAGTGGGCGAGTTGGGAGCATAGATATTTGCAAGAACAAGTGTGTTGTTGCCTATTTTGATCTGTAAGACGATCATACGGCCATCTTCATCGGTTTCTGTTATAATGTCTGCTATTAGACGTTTGCTAATAAGAATCATTACCCCTACTTTACCACTAACTGAGGAGTCATGAACCTGACCTACCCAAAGTTTTTTCATGAGGACAAAATCATTCTGGATTAGGTGTGTTTCCTGCAATAGTACTATATCTGTTTTAAGACACTTCAGTTGTCGAAGTATTCATTTGTGGGGAGATCTCAAACCCTTTACATTCCAAGAAAATACCCGTACCATTAAATCAAGTCATATACAGATTTTTTTAAAAATGTAGCATAATGCTAACCTTGTTGTCTCCGCCCTTCTCCGCCTCCATCTTGTAGCCTTGGGGCTAATAGCGGTTCGGTTGTTGAAAAAAAAATTTCCCGGTTCAAACATGATGGTGAAGAGGACAGTGAGGAAAAGTGGAGGCCCGACAGGGGTGCAAAAGGATATTAACATATAAGAAAAGCTATTGTGGTAGCATGGACTTCACATTTTTCCACATGTAACATTTGATCTCAATCGGAATTACCAGCTGGCCTAGCTGATGTAGCATCGCTTTGAGAACAGATAGAAGAAGCTGGTTGTATTTGGAGGCCCGTTGACCCCATACAAAGAGAAAGAGGGTACCAGCCAAAACTTCCCAGGTGATGATGCATGAGCCAGGATTAAATTATCAGTGGAGGAGGGTGGAAACCATCCTTTCCATTTAACAACATTTTATTATCAGAACAACCAACAAAAGGTCATGAATGTATACCAAGCTAACAAATACTTGCATAACTCTGAGGCATTTACTTTGCCTTAATTAAGCAATATAGTATACTTGGAAGAGGGACTATAGGACTTGACGTTGCTATAATGTAGTGGTTGGCGCTATGGCGGCCTGAGACCTCCTGAGGTGCATGTTGTACATTGGCATTTTGGTAGGTCCTTGCGTGGACTGCAATGATCTCTGGGACCCGAGATATGATGAATGTTTGGCGCGTTTCTTGTGTCGTAGGTGACTTGTAGGTGCATTTCCGTGTATTCCAATACTTCTGGGTGAACAAACGATTTTTGTTCTTCTGAAGGTGTCGTTAACTTCAATATGGCGGGGTAGGCTAGAGTGAATTTTATACCATGTTGGTGGAGAGTAGCAAAAATTGGTTGAAAAGCCTTACTACTCTTTGCGGACTATTCACAAGAAGTCTTGCAAAAACGTAATTTGCAGGCATCAATTTGAAGTGAATGTGAATTGCGAAAAGACGTGAGCCGGGCCACTCTATCTGCATAATTGAGGTATTTAGCTATTACCGACCTCAGTGAGCATCTTTCATTAGATGGCATACCCAAGCGATGAGCCCTTTTTACTATGCAAGGCGTAGTGAAGCCTAAGGCAGCTGGGATACGTGCTGAGCAGAGATCCATCAAGGAGCTAGAATTTTAAGATTCAGGAAGGCCAACAATTCTCTGGTTATTCCTGCGTGAGCGATTTTCTTAATTATCTATCTTTTCTAGGATGTGTTGCTGTGTGTGTGCAAACTGCAGGGCTCCTGCATGGGAGGCGTGGGCCTCACCTTCCAGATCTGATATACGTTGCTTGGCCTCTGATTTGCGTCTGGCATGATCACCCAGCTCCTTTCTTATTTGGTCAATAGCTGAAGATACCGCCCAGTCCACTGCTGCTTTTAATGATGGGTGAGAAAAGTGTGGCTACTGCCTGTGCGATCATACTGGCCATCTAGGGATCGCAGGTCTGAGGGTTCCGATCCTGGCTGAAGCTCCTTCATGTCAGTTTTGTCTCCATGCTGTCGAACATCTTGGCTGCAGCAGAGGGAGAGCGGCACGTGTCAGATCGCTGAGCGGGTGCAGGACCGGAGTGTGGTGGGGTGAGGTACCGCTCCATATGTGGCAAGGTGTAGGAGACAGGGGTGTGTCCGGAGGGGTGGTGACAGGTGTCTCTGGAGTGTGGAGCTGGCTTTATATGCCGTAGCTGCCGAGTCTTCCTCCCTTACATGTGGCGCCGGAACTGGAAGTTTATTTTCATTTTAACAGTGCCTAACTCTAACTCCCTCATGATCATTTAAATCTAAGCTGCTCAAATTCCATTTGCTATGTTGCCCCCTACCCTAAGATATCCTGCCAGTAAACTCCCCCACTTAGGCCTACTTAACAATGGCGTGACCACTACAAACTCTTGGGGAGTGGGACCCCTACTGCTTTCTAGCAGTACCCAATAGTCTTCCTTCTGAAAGTAGATCTGACTGAGTTTGGTGATTATTCATTACCATTATGTAGCCATAATGATTAAACACCATGCCACCAATGAAGCCAATCAGAGTCAGGGCATACAGTATGTAGGCGGAGTAGGAGATTAGTATATATCTGACTATTTTGGATGATGTAGCAGATACTATAAATATAGCTGTGGAGGTGCATAAATATATCTTTTTCTGATGTGGAGGGGATTGTATATAGCTGTATGAATTTTCTATTGTGAGAACTACATATGTAAGATTAATGCCATATTGTTGCTGACGTTTGGAGCCAGTTTCTAGCTTTTGGTATTTTTTCCCAAGTCTGCTTTAGACACATTTTTTTTTTGTATTATCACACTCTTTTACTCTCAAAGAAATGGACAAAAACACTTTGGCTGCTGTTTTCAGTGTGTTCTACTAGGAGAAACAGCAAAAGAGTGTCACTTAGTTAATATAAGCACCAAAAGCATTAGATTTC